TTCTGATTTTATGTTGATTATTAAAGACATTATTTTTATCCTGCAGACAGAAACTGAATAATGACATCAATCCAGAATAATGATCCAAACTGTTTCTGCTCATTTTGTTCTTTATTTCCTCTCAGTTGGTCAGCAGGAGGTCGACGTAACTGAAGAGTCAGATTCTGTCATCCTGCCCTGCAGAACATCATCCTTCCTTCCTGAGGACACGTCAGTGGAGTGGACCCGGCCAGAACCTCGTTCCATGTTCATTTATGTGTTTCCCAACACGAGTAAACACTATGCCCAGCAGGACAGACTTTACAGCTGTCGCACAGAGATGAACAGAGACTTCCTGAGGACCGGAGACGTCAGCCTGACCCTCATGTATCCCACACACAGAGACGATGGACGCTACGTCTGCACCGTCCACAGAGACCAGGACGTCCTGAGACACACTGTGGTTCTGAAATATGTAAAGAAAGGTCAGAGCATCAGGTTAGAGCAGCTGATGAAGGTCAAAGGTCAGATTGAGGTCAGTCTTTCTCTGTTTTTCTACAGAACCATTTCCATCCTGGGCCATAGTTCTGCTGGGTCTGCTGGTTCTGCTGGTTCTCATCGTCTGTGCAGGCGGTTTATATAATTTTGAAGGTTATTTCCTGAAAGGTGAGTCTCTGAATGTTCCTGACCCAGAATGCTGTCAGAGATTGTGTGACCTGTCCTGGGGGTTAGAGGTCAACGGTTCATCTTGTCATATAAGTTCAGCTCTTTGTGTTCATTCATGTTCAGATCAAATGCAGCGAAGATAGAAACATCATGAACAGAACCACAGCCAGAACCAGCAGCGTCTCTCTGCTCTCTGGATCTTTTCTGATCTCTGGTTCTTGGTGACTGTTGGACTCCAGACGACTGAACTACAAACTGAAAGCTGGACGTCTGTTTGATGCTTCTTGGTCTAAATAACTAAATGTTGTCATATTTCAGTGGATTTATTTTTAAGTTAAGTTAAGTTTTGACTCTTTGTAGTTTGATTTGTTTACAGATAGTTTGCATGGCTGCCACACATTTTCACACCAGCGAAAAAGTGTGCTTATATTTACACAAACTTTGACCAATGTCAATTTTTATATATGCCGACTTGTGCATAAAATATGGCTCCATACATTTTTTGTGCTCACGCTTTATGCATGAGGCCCCTGGTGAATTACTGTATGACTCAGTAGTTAGAAAAGCTTCTTCAGATTTTTCAGGTGGTCACCTGGCACCTGATGTTTGAACCTCTCTGTTGCATTGGCTGGAAGAATATTAATCTTCTTAATCTGGCAGACTGCCTGTGATTATCCTTTGTGAACTCTGGTATGGATAGTCTGTAGGTCTTATTCTTCTTTAAGGCCACTGTGGGATCCAATGTTTGGGCGGTAGAGGACATGTTGGTGTCCAGATTAGGTCCAGCTCATGGTTTAGATAAGGGATGGACTGTGGCATTAAAGGTTGAAAGTCAGGAGAAAGTCCATTATCTCCTCATGTCTTTAACCATCAGCTGAAGTTGATTATTATCCTCCTGCAGTTGCTGCACAATGGTCATGAACTCATGTGGCATGCTGGGTAACATTCACCTCGCCATGCTCCTCTCTAGTCTGATGCTGTTCCAACGTAGCGTTTAGACGGCCATGTTTATCCCCCATTATCATCCATCCTGGTGGTCACACAGCCCACTGTGGACCCAACCTGCTCATTCAGAGTCATAATCCATATTCACTCTGTAATCACCTCGATCCGACTCAAAGGACCAATTAGTAACGATGCAGATCACAAGATTCTGCATCGTATTACTGAGGTGGTGATCGCAGAATATTCATCGATTAAAAGCCTCAGTGACCCTCAACGAAATAACAAGGTGATGATTTCCTGGTTCTTTAATCGGCAGATTCAGGGATTAGGTGGACGGGTGGTTCTACAAAAGAACAGCTAAATAAAACATACAATCCACTATGTACACCAATAGTCATTTTGTAAGTTACAAACATATTATAGTCACATTACTTGTTTTTTAAGCTTTAATGTAAGTCCTTATAGCTTAGCTATATTTGGAAAATAAAATAAAACATTCTTCTCATTACTCCAGTCTTATGGTCTGTAGGTCTTGTTCTTTATGGCCATTGTGAGATCCAATGTTTGGATGTTTTATTAGTTACTAATAAGATTAAATAAAGTAAAAGAGAGCAACTAAACATAATAGAATTCACCATTTTAAAGTAAAACTCAGCTTCTTTTGGCAAAATGAGCAAACAGAAAATGTCTAAAGTAATAAAATACACGTTATTCTTCTTAAACACAAATAAACTATATCTTACCAGTCTGACGGACACATATTCTCATAAAATACCACATAAACTACCTACAAACAACTTCAGCTGATCTGCACTGATTCCTGAACATTATTTCACATTTGAACAAAACATTACTCACAAAATGCCTGCGCCCCCTAGTGGCGACAATTACTACAATTCAGTCTTGCATTCAGAACAGTTACATCCCCCTCATACTGCCTTGGAGATCTAACTCTGCTGTAGGATTTGTCTCTCTGACTTGAACTTTCCACCAGAAATACCTTGATGGTCTCTGACCTGATGGGTCCATCCAGGTCCAGGAGGAACTCAGATTATATCAGCTCATCATCATTTGCTCCACTTCTCTCTCGTCAGCTGCTGTCTGTCCATCTGTCTGTCTGTCCGGCTCATCTTGTCCTCCGTTGTCTCTCAGCTCCACTGGTGAAGGTAGATTCAGGGGTGAAGTCTGTCCTGCTGCCCTGTAGAACCAGAGTCTGCCTGCCTGGAGGCGCTAGAGTGGAGTGGAGGGACGGAGAGAACAGGACGGTCCATGTGTATCAGAACGGTTCTGATGATCCTGAAGAACAGAACCTGACCAGCAGAACCAGGATGAATGACGACCCACTGCAGACTGGAGACCTCAGTCTGACTCTGGAACGTCCCAAACCTGAAGACAGCGGGATCTACAGCTGCAGAGTCTCCATCAGGAAACGAGTCATCCTGATGATGAAACGGGTTCATCTCCAGGTCAAAGGTCAGTGGTTAAATGTTGCATTCTTCCAATCAGGTGATTGGTGGTGATCAATAGTGATGTTTGGCTGATTACAAGATCAAAGGTCAATGTGATGTAATGAGTGAGGAAGACGAGGAAGCAAAGCAGGAGGAAGAGGTTCAGGACAGACAGGGACCAGCAGCAGGAGGCTTTGAGTTGGACAGTGCTCCCTGCTGGAGACACTATTTAGTGTTCAGAACCACCAGACAGCTCAGAACCATCAGAACTGAAGTTCCTGCAGCCTGGAAGCAGCAAATGTGTTGTGAATAAGGATGCATGTAGACTGGGATTTTTATTTTTATTTTAAAAAATAAATTTTTCCAACGTTTTGAAATTGAGTCTGTTACCCTTTTTGATTAAAATTTTCCAGGGCCCCTTTTGTTGCTAAAAACAATGTAGTAAACTGCAATTATAACTGATTGCTTTTTAGGTTGGCCAATTAAACCACTCCCCCTCTCTCAGATTAAATCCAACACATCTAACACATCTGTTAGATGTGTTGGATTTAATCTGAGAGAGGGGGAGTGGTTTAATTGGCCAACCTAAAAAGCAATCAGTTATAATTGTAGTTTACTAAATTGTATTTGTGAGCAATCATCTCAGTAAACAAGTATTACATTCATGTATCTGTGGTCTGTGTTAAAATGTCAGCATTTATGGACCCTGAAGCCCTATTGGGCCTGATGAAGCTGCTAACTTAATTTGGATTAAACAAAAGTGCAAATAAATGATATTTATTTTAATTGTATATTTTGATTTGTTGTTTTTAAGACTCAATCACAGTGGTTTTAAATAGGATTTCACTGGCGATGTTGTCCTATAACATGTAATTATTCAGTAATATTCTTACATTTCCTGTCAAATTAACATCTTTTAATACACATGGTGGACTGCCAGTAGGCCGCCTCAGCTGGGCTGAGCAAGTTTTCTTAGGAAAACCCTGCAAAATGAACTCAGCTTACGTCTTCCCCCCTGAACTTCTCGAAACAGTCATAGGTCAGAAGTGACCTACAAGGTAACATCAGCTAAACTCAGCTGGGTTTTACTAACAATCACTGTGCAACAAAGGGTTTCCATGTTTCAATAGAAAGTGACATTACGGAGTTGGCCAGACTTAATGCTCTATCTACAAGTTCTCAAATTGACAACCAAATAATGGTTACCTGAATACAAAAAATGTCCTCCTCTTTGATCAAACCATCATGTACTGATGTTGCTTTTTCCCGTTAATGAATCTTTGCAAACTTTGTACAGGATGTCATCGCGCGTCTTCAGTTTTTTCCACTGTTTTAGGATTCAACTCTCTCGTTTTGATGGTCGTCTCCCTTGGATGCTGAATCGCATGACATGTGATAGGACAACATTGTTTCTCTGACTATCATGAAGCTCTTGAAGTGAAAAAACAGGCAAATGGTTTTCACCTGGCTGGACCAACTGCTCCAGATCCTGGGCCAGTCATGAAACCAGTCTCTACTTTGGACCTTCATCCCAGTCCATATGACCTGCTAGTAGTGCAGATACTTCACAGTCTGATAGAGACTGTGTTTCCAGCTCATTCAGTGGG